CAACATCCATCCATCATCTATCCAATCAACCAACCAATATCCATCCATCATCCATCCAACCATCATCCAACCATCATCCATCCATCCATCATCCAACTGACCAACATCCATCCATCATCTATCCAATCAACCAACCAATATCCATCCATCATCCATCCAACCATCATCCATCCATCCATCATCCATCCATCCATCCATCATGCATCCATCATCCATCCATCCATCATCCAACCGACCAACATCCATCCATCATCTATCCAACCAACCAACCAATATCCATCCAACCATCATCCAACCATCATCTAACCAACATCCAACCAACATCCATCTAACCAACAGCCATCCATCATCCATCCAACCAACATCCAACCAACATCCATCCATTCATCTAACCAACATCCACCCAACCAACATCCATCCAACCATCATCCACCCAACCAACATCCAACCAACATCCATCTAACCAACATCCATCCATCCATAATCCATCCATTCATCCATCCATAATCCATCCAACCAACAACCATCATCCACCCAACCAACATCCATCCAACCATCATCCACCCAACCAACATCCATCCAACCAGCATCCATCCAACCAACATCCATCCATTCATCCATCCAACCAACAACTATCATCCAGCCAACCATCCGTCCATCATCCACCTTCTGCCAATTATCCAACTGCTCTGAGGTTTCTGTCCTCACCTCCTCACACATGTGGAGCAGACGGTGAGAAGCACTTCCTGTTCCTCTGAATCCAGACTGAACTCTGGGACACAGACGGCTCATCTGTGTTGCAGAGTTTTTCTCAGTTTGCATTTCAGATCAAAACCTTTTCAAACATCCAGACCTCCAACTGTGCGAGCAAACTCCATGATGGAGAACAGGCGAGCACGGCACGCACGGTGAGCACAGCATCGCTGATGGCGAGCACAAAACACACACTGCAGCATCATGTTCAGCATCATGCCGTCATGTGGGTTGGTCATTTACACTCCATATGCATACATACAGATGTTTACTGCAGCTGTTTCTGTGCTCCGTTTTATTTTATATGCTTCAGCTTTGGGTCAGAGGTCAGAGGTCAGGGGTCCATCCTGTCTGCCTCGCTCTCACTGAGATGAAATTGTGTTTTTTGTGCAGAGAAGTTTGAAGCCTCTAATTTCAGTCTCTTTGTGTTTCTCCCTCCCACCGCCTGGCTCTCACTCTTCCTCTCTCTGCCTCCCACTCCTCTTCTCCAAATGTCTTACTGAGAGCTGGTTGCTATGTGAACAGGTGCTAAAGAGCCTCTTATGTTATCTGCACACACACACAAACACGCACACACACTCCTAAAACGAGGAAACCTGCGACTCTGAGGGGTCGAGGAAGACGAGGAGGAGGAAGGTAAAAGCTTCTTTTGCGTTTGTAGAGGAGAAACCAAACTCCTCCCACTCAGAGCTTTTCTTCTGTTTGTGTTTGTATGACTGACTGGCTGCTGCATAATTATTCTTATTACAGACTCTTAGATAACCCAGCAGCTGTGCTCAGCTCCACCAACACGCCACATGATTGTTTCAGGAGGTCATGTGACGCTGCGGGGTTTTCCTTTCTGTCAGATAAACCTTTCAGTTTCTGTGCAGGTGAAAGAGCCAAAACACACCTGAGCCTCCTCTGTGCCCATCAGCTCTCCTCCTGCTGCTCATCAAACCACCAGGCCCATATGGAGTCACACCACTGATCCCAGTACAACAAAGATAATACGTGATGTCAGTCGACGTCTGCCAACACGGATTCAGTCATCTGCAGGCAGAGCCTTCAGACGCACAGCTGAGCGTCTCTGCCTCTGAGCACCGGATTCTAATCAAACATCAAAGATGTTTGTTTCAGGCTTTACTGAGCAGGTTTGTGTACAACAGCCCGTCCCTGTCCACGGGCTCATTCCTGACAAAACAGAAGACAACGACACGGAGCCTGAGAACATCCGAAGCATGTAAATATGTTCTGGCTGTAGCCCAGAATAAAACTACGAGGCTTTAAAGTTTCTGTTTTGGGCTCAGCTACCAATAAAACCGCACACACACACACACACACACACACACACACACACACACACACACACACACACACACACACACACAGTGACCAAACTTTGTATTTGTGGGGACGCTGTAGGAA